ATATATATATATATATATATATATATATATATATATATATATATATATATATATATATATATATATATATATAGCAGTCAGCACCCAAAACATGGATGGAATAGGTTACGGTCTGTATTTTAGGTTCCATGGGAAGTGCTATGATTATGACTGTGCATTCTTAAGCTTGCCCTTGGTGGATATAATCAAACAAGACTTCTTTTGAAGTGTGTGATCATCTTTGTGAATGACCTTGCAGTATCACTATCATTTCCATGTGATTGATTGAAACAATTTAAATAATACAATGGCCTTATTCCTCTGGGAATATTTCTTTTCAAGTTATTTCCCTTAGGCCTAATTCCACATGTGTTCAGGTCTCTCTCTCTCTCTCTCTCTCTCTCTCTCTCTCTCTCTCTCTCTCTCTGTCTCATGCACACACACGCATATACAACATATATGTGAGTTAGTTATGATGGGAATTTTTCAAGTGAGACATTGAACTATTAATTTTTCTTATCCTTTTCCCCACAGTTATTATGTGGGCATGTGTGGAGATGGAGCAAATGACTGTGGGGTGAGTACAAATTACTTCCACTAATACAGTCAGTTCACTAATCTAATATCCCTCTTGGGGCCCCCACATTCCCTGGGGTGTGTCTCTTCACCCTTCGGCCAGCAATCACTTGACTATTTTGCTGTTTATATTTTACTCTACCTGAGTGTGGTTGGAAGTGGAGAGGAGTAAAATAAGATGAGTCACTTCAGCTGTTTTCTGACAATGCCTAGAATAACAATGACAAGCGAAGGCTACTTAGAGCCCCCTATTTCAGACCCAGAGGGCCTTTACAAGACTGGCTGGTTTAAATCTCTCATGTTATCAATAAGAAAATTACTTCAGGGGAGTAAATTATTTTTCTTTCTTTTTTTTTCCCCCTAAAGTCACACAGCTGGTAAAGTCTTAGTGAAAGAAAAGTTTAAAATTGAGGATTAACATTTTGAATTATGTGTAAATTGTATTATTCCTGCCAAACTTTTATTCCAGGGTTAGTTTCTTAAAGTTGGCTATACCCCCAAATTCTTAACATTCATTGAAACTGTGTGTGTGTTACATGCCGTTGAGTCAGTTCCAGCTCCTGGAGACCCTATGAACATGTGACGTTCCCAATGTCCTCTCCTCAACAGCCCTGCTCAGCTCCTGTAGACTCATAGCCATGGCTTCTTTTATGGAGTCACTACATCTCATATTTGGTCTTCCTCTTTTCCGCTGCCTTATATTTTCCCAGTATTATTGTCTTTTCCAAAGAATCCTGCCTTCTCATGATGTGCCTGAAGTGGGGCAGCTTCCATTTTGCCACTTTTCCTCCAGCAATGTTTCAGGCTTCATTTCCCCTAGCACTCACTTGTTCACCTTTCTGGTGGTCCAGGCTATCTTTAGAGCTCTCTTCTAACACCATATTTCCTATGAATCACTTTGCCCTATCATTCTTCTTCATTGTCCAACTTTCACATCTGTACATAGTAATTGGGGATAGAGGGTGTGGGTGATCGTAGCCTTGGTCTCTAGTGACATATCTTTGCTCTTGGCCACCTTCCCTAATTCTTCCATTGCTGCTCATCTGAGTCTCAGCCTTCTCTTGATTTCTCGGCTGCAGTCTCCATTTGAACTGATGACTAAACTCAGGTAAGCAAAATCTTTAACAATTTTAATGTGTTCATAGACCAAAAAATTTGGTTATTATATACTATAGCAAAACCTAAATTAAACTATTCTGAGCAGATTACTTCTCATACACACTAGAAGGCAGTGCATGTTTTATAATCTAAATTTTAAAGATATGGTTGAAATAGTTTATCTCGAAGATTTATGAACCTAAGAAAATATTTTAGTGGCTAATGTGTGGGACAAGAAGTAAAGGGGATTGCTTTGTATTTCCAAAGTGTATTAGATACTTAAGATATGGGTATTTGTCTTACTTTATTCTTAAATGTTTTCTTCAAAGTTCTATCAAAAACTGTGCTCATACTTAGAGATCTATTATGAGCTTTTCTGCTTTACACTTCCTGAGAAGCTAATTGTTAGTCCACTGTTTAAAATCTAGAATGAGTACTCATGCCTATTAATTATATGAAGTTCATAACAAAACAAAGATATCAAGTGCTAAAAAAATAAAGCCTCTGCTCTTTCTAAAGAGTTCATTTTTGGATAGGGAAAGAATCATGCATAAAATGACCCTAATATAAAGTAGGCGGTCCTAAATTATATAACAAAAATACAGGATATTAAGAGAGATAAGAGGAAGAAGGAAGTATTCTAATATTTACTGACCACGAATTTAGTGTATACTGGCCATGATATACAGGTACTTTGTAGCTTTACAGAACTGCAGAAATGAAACATCTTTTATTTTATGCCCATGCAATTCTTGTAGGGTTAAGGGCTCGCTGGCCTCCCTGTTGGTCACTGTCTGCTCTTTATACTCTCTGAATGGCTTTCAGTCTTAATGAGAAACGAATGAGCCCTCATTTCAAGGAGGCAACACAGGTTCTGGAATGGGTGTGATGAAGTCCCTGTCCCCAGTGAAGACTCTGCATGCTCCATATTTTTCTCAACAGTGAGCTGATTGGCTGGATTGGGCAGCCCAGGGGAGGTGGGGATTGGACCTCTTTCTCGATTGTTCATGAATATGCTCTGCTAAGTGTAAGAACAGTGATGCCGAATGTCCCCCACAAATATCCATCCAAATGCTGTCATCTTTTTAATAGATTTCTTGAATGATGGTTTTCATTTTCTTATTACATCTATACCCCACAACTAATACATACGCATGCATGCACACAGATATGCACATACTCATGCGTACCTGCACACACACACACACACACACACACACACACACACACACATATATATATATATACATACACACACACACACACACACACACACACACCTCTCTTCTACCTCTGGATCATTGTTTATTTGTTGCCTCTTTAGTTGATGACTTTGTGGATTTGGGAGAGAAGGTATTCCAGGTGAAGGGACAGCATAAAAAAAGACCCAGGGGTCAAAGCTTACAGTGGTCTAAACTCTGTAATGTGAAGAATAGCCTCATGGTGTTCGAATATTTAGAGCCTGGCCCGAGGAGCATGGGTGTAACATGGATTTATCATTCCAGGCTTTGAAAATGGCTCATGCAGGCATTTCCCTATCAGAGCAGGAGGCATCCGTGGCATCCCCTTTCACCTCAAAAACAGCCAACATCGAGTGTGTGCCTCATCTCATCAAGTAAGCCACCTCTTCCCCTTCCACCTGCATGACTGATGGGCTCATTGTCCAGCTCTGGACAGAAGTCAGCTATGATTTAGTGATAAGTGTCACAGCAGAGGTATGGGTAAAGTGTTATCGGAGCACAAATTAAGGGAGCCATTAGTGCTGCTGGTAAAAGCCACAAATAAGGGATTTTGCTGAGCCTTAAGGGATAACATCTGGGTCACGTGGACTGCTGAAAGCCAGAGTCGGTATTTTAAGAGTAATTGCTTTTCTTACTTCCCTCCTTTATTTTGCATGTTGGGTGCTCACTGGAACCTTTCTCTAAGGAATTGAGAATGTGAGGAAGCAGAAAGGGAACTCTTCATCAGATAGCTTCCCCAAATAGTGTTATGTCTCCAAAATACAAATTAGTGAACATCCAAAATAATAGCAAAAAAGACTTTTACAACCAATTGGCAATGCTTAGGGAAGGGGAAAGAATCAAAAACGGTTTTCCCAGTAGAGCTCCCTTTCTTCCACTCCACTCTCATTTCTGGTGTTGTCTTGACTCATATTTTAAATGTAACTAAGAGTAAAACAATAGGTTCTCTTTTTTGTTCATAAATCTTATTTTCCTTTTGTTACTTGTGTGGTAACTTTGGGCCATCTTCATGGCCAATGGTCTGGAAGACATCACCAAATCTTGAGGTTTATATGAAAAAGAACAACCATGAAGTTCTCCGGTGTATCCCTCGGTGCATCTGAATAGGCAGGGATCACCGAAAAATGCCAGGCTTGAAATTCCATGCCCCTGTCTGGCTGTGCATCAGCTCCCTGAACACTGGCCGGCTGCCCCTGTGTCCTTCTGCACCCTCAAACACCTCCTCTGCCTCCGAGCACTCCTCTTCCTAACTCCCATGCTCCCTGCTTCTGAGGACCAGGTGGTCCTTAGAGTCCGTCATCCAGGCTCAGAAGCTCAGGGTGAATTTAACTCTTTCTTCTTCTTCACCCCTAGCCAACCAGACATTATGTTTTAATGATTTGTCTTTTGGAGAGTCTCTCCAAGCTCTTTTCTTGCATTTTTATTGCTTAAACCTGTTTCATGTCATGATGATGACAAAACTGGAGTGCTCAGGACCCTTGCCCTCATTCGTGCTTTCTATTATCGACACAACTCTTGGAGCTCTTTTTAAATATTGTGCTTAGAGACAGAGCCTTGCACTGGAGGACATACATTCCAGTAAAGACTATAGATAAATATAGACATAATCACAAAACAGAGAAGCTTATGCCTGATAAGTGAGAGGTGCACAGTGAATGAGCTTTAAATAAATTAACATCTAAACCATACAGGAATTGTTCCAATAGCTCAGTATGATAACTCTAGCCAGAGGGGAGGCTTTATTAGGAGAGTTTCAACTTGGAGGATGGATAGGACATCTGTGAACAGAAAGGAGGTGGGGGAAATGGAGAGCCATGTTTATAAATGTGGCCTTTATTGGAAAGTGCAGGGGCCCAATAGCCTAACTCAGATGGGAGTTGTGGAGCACCAGGTGCGGAGGCCTTGCATAGGAAGTTTAAACTCCTGGATGGTTGCATAAAGTGCCTGCTTGGCACACTCAGAAGGCAATGGCATTTGAACTTCAGATGCTCTTTCTCACACATGTGGCCCAATACATTTATGAATGCAATATACTGTTTTAAAATACAAGTCATGATGTAAAATTTCTCTAGTGGCAGATGGTTTACTAAGACTTCAGGGTAGAAACTCTTTGCTATTATATTTCCTAGATTTGTAAAATTAGATGTGGTTCAGCTCTGTTAGGCTTATTGTTCCCTTGCTCTCCTTGATGCCTGCTTATTCCAGAGAAAACATCCTCCAGAGGGGCGATGAGGTAGGGTGTTAGATGCATAAGTCCAGATCCAAGGTTTTCATTTCTATCCCTTGAAACACTTGTTATAGTTCAAGTCCTTTAGGGCAAGGAGTGTTCCTTATCCATTTCTGTATCATTGCGCCTAGTACTAATAGCTGGATACATCAGAGCACTTGATGAATGTTTGTGGAGTGCATAGATAAATAAGTGAGCTGCTTAAAATTCACAATCATTAGGAATAGCAATAATTTTGAGGGTCCATGCAAAATCCTTTATGCTTTATTCACAATGGGTTTTTGCACTTTCCCTTAACTATAGGTGTCTTAATTTTTTATTTTTATTTTTTTGAAATATAGACAACAGCAGAAAGAAAGGATAAAATCACAAAGTTTATGTCAGAAAACATCCAGGCTTCCCATGCTTTTCCCTTCCCAGCTTGCCTTTCGCTCCACCCTCTGTGTTGAAAACAAATCACGGTGCCTCACAGCTTGCTAGAAAGCATCTGCCCACAGCATCCTAGCCCATCTCCCACCCGAACCTTTTCATCTTGCCTGAGGCAAGTGGTTATTAGTTTGGCTTTTTAGGATTTCCTTTTCATGTCCCTGTTTTGTTGACAAAGTCTTTGAGCAGTGTGGGTGTCCTGGGGACTGGAGCAGAAGAAGATGGGGGCTACCTTCCTTGTGGATGGGCTTCTGCCCGGACAAGAGGAGGCTGCAGGAAGGGTGGTGTGCCAAGTTCTCCACTCTACCATCGCACTATCACCTCACCTCACTTTCTTTGGCCTGTCATAATTCATCACCCAACCAAGTCTCAGTTAAAGAAATAATAGCTCAAATGGAATTTTTTAAAGGGGGGGATATTTACTTTTAAGCTGCAATTTTTACTGTTGTCTTAATCTCTTTTGATCTCCACACCAGCTCAGATTATTACCCTGGATTCTTCCTGAAGTATTAAAGCCAAAAAGCCCATTTCATCTCAAATATTGCAATCACATCCACACTTCCTAAAATGCAGGAGTACCCGTCCTTTAGCTTTATGTCTCAGAGGGATTCTAAAGCACACGCTGTTTAATTCTCAGGAAGCAAGTGTTGGTAGGATGTAATGTGTCACAGTCAAGTCAACGCTTCACATTTTGCACCTTATCATAATGTGTTGTGTTTATAATGTTCATGTTAATCTTCTTAACCCACCGAAAGCTTGTTGAAAATAAAGACTGGGCCTGACTTATTTATATCCTCCATGACTCTTAGCATAACGCTGGTAGCTCATAAGCCCTAAATAAAGGTGAATGTATGAATTAATGAATGAGGTACTGATGGAAGGAGAGAATGAATAAGTGTGTAATTAAATAAATAATTGAGAGGATGAATCAGTAGTTAACTGACTATGTATCAACAGGCTATTAAAAATTAAACATTTGAAATATAAAGGAGACTGGGATATGTATAGCATATATAACCAGTTATTTTTATTTTTTCCTTAAACAGGGAAGGCCGAGCTGCTCTGGTTTCATCCTTTGGGGTATTTAAATACTTGACCATGTATGGCATGATCCAGTTTATTAGTACATCATTGCTCTATTGGGTATGAACCAAAATACTTTCTTTTTAGCTTTAATTGCATTTACATCTCTCGTTTATTCTTTTGGGTGCAGCTCCTTCACAGGATTTAATGTTTTATAAATAAGTGACATTTCTCAAAATAGATGTCTACAAATTGGGAACTTGGTACAACTGTGCATGAAATGTGGAGCTAGAAATAAATAGATGTGGCTCAATTTTCTAGGAGTGTTGTTTTTCTCTAGATAACCTGAGACACTTGACCTCTTGAAGCCTCTATTTTTTCACTTGGATTATGAAGAGAGCTTCAGAACAACCTAAATATAACTCAGCAGGAAATGGATCAGTCACCAACTGTGGAATATTTTTGGCAAAAGACTAAGAAGTGATAAAAAGAAAGAGAAATTGTTGAATTTGACTTTGAAGGACTCGAAAGCTAGAAAAACTCCCATACAGGATCTTTACTTCTGAACCTGCCTAGAACTTACACACGTAAGACTTGCCATTAGTAAAAGAGTGGCAATTTTTTAAAAGTAAAAAACAAAAAGACCTTTGAAATTAAATGATAAAAATAAACTCTTAAGAATTAATTAGCTATATGGAAGAAATATGTTTAGGTTGAAGGTACTCTTCATTAGTTCATTCATAACTTGCTCTACAGTAAAATGATCCAACAGGCTCAGGGACCGCTTCAGGGAAGAAATTAGTTTACTGCTTTCCTGAGACATTTAAGGGGCGAATGAGAGGACCACAGGACTCCAGCATCTGCCATGCTATTGCTTGCAAGAATCACATACACAGAGGGCTAAGAGGCAACCAGGTGGATAGAAACAAGACCTGGACTGGGAGTCAGGAAACCTGGATTCAAATTCTGCCTCTATCACAAAAACAAATTAGGATTTGCTCTTGGCCAAGCCTTTATCTGCCCCTGGGGAGTTAGACTGGCTGATTCCCTAAGCCCTTTATCGTTCTATGAAAGCTTCCTTTGAAAATTTCTCTCTGTTCCATTTCACCCTACATATACAGAGGGTGCCAAAAAAATGTATATACATTTTAAGAAAGGAAAAAACTGTATTAAAATTGTACTTCTCGATATATACTGATAACAAAAGATGAATACAAGTCATGTGTATATATTTTTAGCACCCCCGGTATATCATTTTACCTTCTTTAGTGGAAAATGAGGGAAAAGGATATGAGAGAGAAATGTAAAGAAGACAGAAGAAGACTTGAAGGATGAGAGGGGCACTGAGGAACCATGGGCATCCTGTCAAAAACAGGAAAGCAGAACTTCAGTTCCAAAGTCTTCATGGACAGAGTTGGAACCATAGTCCACTCTGAAAACATTCGGTTGGATGGTCTTGACCTAAATAAGAGTGTTCCCCAAGGACTTCACCCAGAACCTTCTGGGCCTTGGGTTCACCCTCAAAGAGGCTGGAAATATTTTTTATTTGCATAACTCTAGTTTGTAATGTGTTCACAACCAGATTATAATTTAGTGCTCAGTCAACAGCAATGCAGCAGATAAACAGACCTGGCTGTAAAAGGTATGACAAGGCAAGTTCCTGCAGAGTAACAGGTTGGCTTTTATATTTAAATACTTCAGCTCCATAAATGTAAACTTTAAAGAAGTTCTGTGTCTATACAAACCTTAGAAAGGCAGGTGTAGCAGACTGGTCTGCTGTGGGCTTACTTGGGGCAAGACCACTGTTCAATTTGTGAAAGTAAATGGACTCCAAAAGAACTATGGTGTGAACTCAATATCCATGAGTGAAGATGGAGAGAAACACCTGTTGAATGTTTTGAGCCCTTCAAATTTTAGGTTTGAAATTCCCAGAAGAACTTTTAGGCTTTAAATCTTATATTAAGAATTCAACTGTCTAGGCTGAGACTATAGCTGCCAGAACTGCTCTGGCCAATAGGACAGTATTTCCCAAATGACTGACCCTCCTTGGTAATATGTGATTAAGTTAAACACTGGGGAAATAGTGATCTGGTTTCATTCTCTCCAATGAGATGCCAAAAACCTTGGGTAAGTCACTGTCTTCCTAAAGAGGAGAGAAAAATAACAGTTGCTTCCGACTACTTTCAAAAAAAATGTTGGCCATGATAAAAATAATACAATGGCAGAAGCAACACTTACATTTACTTTTCTTTACTTTTCAGCAACTACAACTCTTTGGAAATTACCAGTATCTCATGCAAGATGTAGCCATTACCTTGATGGTCTGTTTAACAAGTAAGCTCTCTTAACAAAGTAAATAGTATTATTTGTATTTATCCATGGAATTCTAGAAATGTTCATGCAAATAAGAGCTTCTGATAAAGATGCACCTTAACTACTAAAACCTCATTACCTATGAGTTTTTTGAAAGTGGTGTTGGGAGTAAATTGACGTTTGAGATCCTCAGACTTGGAATTAAAATAACCTGAGAGCAAATAAGTTTTAGCTTCATAAAATTGTCAATATATTCTGAGTTCTTTGTAGGTTTGTTCCTTGTACATAGAAAAATATACAAGAAATCTAGAAAGGAAAATCTTTAAAACCCAAAGGTCACTTTCTGTTATTCAGCCATGCTTCATGTTGACATGAAGCCAGAGTTTTGCTATGTATTTGACATGTGAGAACAAATGCTAACATTTTATTCTAGTGGAATTCTTTCAAAAGTAAGGTGTGGCTTACAGCAATGAAATTGTTCATTTTCTTCCTTGCAGATGACACGGATAAAGTATTTCCTATCAAAGAATTCAGGGCTTGATACTAACTCTTAATAAGTGAGAAAAGTGACTGACTCAAAAGAGAGTAATGACTATGTCATTTCTTTTTTCTTTATTCAACAATGAAAGTGTTTTGAAAAATAACAGGTAAAAAACATCAGGCAATGCAAGATATTAATAACCATGAGAATTTCATGTAGCACCTTAAAACATGAAACTGATATTAAAGTCATTTATTATATCACCCCAATGACAAAATTTACCAGTAGTAGAGATGTAAGTAATATCAATTTTGATTCTTAGGGTTGAAATTTCTATTCATATCCTATTAAAATGTTTTTCTACATGTTATTAATATTCACATGACTGGATAAGTTTGAATCAATAATATTGCTTCTGTAATGTTGGATATTTTAAGTAATTTGCATGATTTACTTGAGAACATGGTCAATGATGCTAAAAAGAAAAAAGAACACCAGGAAGCTCCGAGAGCTAATCTAGAAGTCAGTACCATGAAGGCGAAGGTCGTGGATATGCTCCACCACTCTGTATCTCTGTGACTTTTGGCAAATTGTTTATGAAAGAAATAATTTTCTCACATGAATTATCCTCATAAGGTTGTGAGAATCAGATAAAATAATGCATGTAAAATATATAGCACAGTGCATCACACACTATAAGCACTCATTGTAAAATGAATGATATCACGCTCTACCTATCCTCTATTTCTTCTTTTGTGATGACTAACTAACTCAGTGAGCCCTTGAAAAGAATTAGACTGTGTACAAGCAGATTGTTTGATTAGAAATCAGAATTGCTAGATGAACTTGAGCAAGTTATTTTGAGCTTTTACATACTTAATTCTGTGGTATTTGTTATGAGCTTGACCCCCATGGCAGTGGGTATATTTTGGTCTTTCCCATGGCGATAATTTGTTGATCTTCATGCCAGTTAGTCACCCTGTGAAGGTTAGCCTCCCTTCTCTGAGTAGGCTCAGTGAGAGGCTTGGAGTGACTCAAGGAAGGATCATTGCTACCAGTGGGAGAAAAAGTCTCAAAAGGGTAATAGATGAAAAGCATAATATTCTATCAGAATGACAGCTATTTCTCTGAATATTAGGCAAGAAACATGTAGCTGGTTCAGTAAATAGGCTGGACTCAGGGTAGATTGGTGAAGTTGAGAAATTGAGTCAGGAAACGGCTATTTTTGTTTGTTTTTTGCCCTCTGCCTTCAAACACTATTGCTTTGCCATCCTTACAAGCTCAGTCATTCCACAGGCATACCATTTCCTGGTCAATTCCAGGCATTAAAATGATCCCATCTTTAGATATGACAAGTCCAAGTATTAAAAAATCAACATTTTGTATTTTCATTTAATTCAAAGCTTTATTCCCCCTGTATCAAGCCTGACCTATGCTTGGAGCAAGCAGTAGGTGAGAAGGTCATGGTCTCTACTTCCCTTGCAATGATCTCTACTTACCTACACTCCAGCCCTGATTCAGGGACTATGAGAGTTACAAGAGCAAAGAACTTTTTACTTAAGTGGAGGGATTGTAGTTCTCTCCTGTCAAGTGCTCTCTGACATGGCAGGCATCTTAAATTAAGGCAATTTGCATGGGGCTCATTGGTGAGTCCTTCGATTCTTCAGAGAATTCCTGTGGATTGGTCTGGACTAGGTCTCTCCCTGACTTGGTCATGCTCTCCCCTGCCAACTCTTCAGGATTCCTTTCAGCAGCTGCCTTCTAGTGGTACATACCATAAAGCCTTGTTCTACTGCTGGGCCTTCTGTTGGGTAGATTCTTCCCAAGACAGCTCTGGCCTGGCTCATTCCAATAGCTTCTACTTGACCTATCAGGTAGATGTATAGCTTGTTTTCACTGCTGCCTCTCCTTCTCTCTGATATTGCAACAGGGGATGAGCAAGGTAATCTCCATCCTCAAAACCACTTAAGGTCTCTTCTAGAGTAGTTTTTATGACCTCTCCTTATTTGGGCTGGGATGATGCAAAAAAAGAGAACCACAGTCCTTGCTGCTCCTAAAAAAATCTCTATAGTTTTAATTTATATAGTCTGTATATAGGTAATTGTGTGTGTGTGGGGGGGGGAGGGGGAATGCTTACAGTTGAAGGGCCAATATGGTTGCCTGTTAGTTGATACTATGGAGATATGGCAGTCATCTCTCTTTTTATTAGATTGACACTTACCGTTTACTGTCTTCAAATATAAGGCTCAGCAAAATTCCCCAGACAAAAGGAAAAGCCTCACTGAACATTCTCTTAGAAGTGTTCATCTCCTACTATGTGTTAGGCACATAGGTGTCTGGAGCAGAAAAAGGCTGATCACTGAAGTTCAGAGTTTAGTGAGAGATTCACATCATGAATGAATGAAATGCAAATCTAAAGTAGTGAGTGCTAGGAAACAACAAATATTTAGGGAGTTCAGAGAAAAGAGAAATTGCTCTGGAAATCTGGAGTTAGGAAAGAGATAGCAATGAAGAAAAGAGAGAGATCCTAAGGATGGCTTCATGGGAAAGGTAGCATTTGTGCCAAAATAGGAAGGGTGGATAGATTTCAAATATTTTTTACTTTTAAGAAGGGCATTTCAAATAGAAGGAAACAGCATAAGCAAGAGAGAGCTCATAAATATGAGCATAAGTTTTTCAATTTGACCACACTGTAGGGTATGTGAAGAGAAACAGCAAGAGGTGAAATTTGAAAGGCAGGTTGGATCAGATCACAGAATCTTGACTACCAGGCTGTTGACACTCCTGTGCAGGTGTTGAGTCACTGGCAACTGAATGATCAATGTACAATCATTCTCACCAAAGCCCCTATATTTCCAAGTTCCTAGGCTATGGCTTTGACCTTAAGCTTGAGTTAGTGTGGGACAAAGACAATACTATCATATATTTTATTTATTTACTTACTTACTTATCTCTACACACCCTGCCTTGTTCCTACAAGGTTAAAGGCACCTAATAAGATGAGATATAATATACTAAAGGGAAAATCGAGAAGAAAAGTAAGGTGAAGTCACAAAAGTCAAGAAAATATATGTCTTAAAGTCTATTTTGACCCTAATAGGTCTAGAAGCCATCCTGAAAGGAATTTGTCCTCGCAACATCTCTGTTCTCTTCAACAAGAAACATTCAAATTAGATCAAGAAAATAGAGGAAGGGGGATGTTTAAGAATATCATCCTCAAGAAAAAAACAAAACAAAACAAAAAAACAGAAGAGAAACTCAGAAGTACCTGGGTTTGAGGAGGGCTAGAACACTAAAGGGTGAAAAATAGAGGCTGCTTTTCTCTTTTAATTTCCAAGATACTATCTTGTATCTTCCTTCTTTTTTCCATTCTTGCTATTTTCATCAAACTTCTACTCATTAACCTTGCAAACAACCTGAAAAGGTGACTCTGCTGAATGTTCATAACCTTTTTGCTTGTTTTCCCCCAGCTAATTAGCTCAGCCTCTCAGTATCTTATTTGCAAGTCTTTGGGAGAGAAAATGTATTGACCTAACTTGGGTAGATGCCCACCTTGAAGCCAATCATTTCTGTGAATGAAGGTGGGGTCATGTAATTCAGCTCCAGCCAGGCCAACCACTCCAGCATATGGGAAGAGGCAATATCCAGACAAGGAGATGGTAGGAGGCAATTAATGAGTTGTATAAGTATATCTCTTACATGAATTCCACCAGGGTTTCAATTAGCCCTAACATTTTCCTGGTCTTGGTCCTCATGGAGAATCTGATGGAAGATATATATCTTTTCACCTTAGGAATCCCATGATGCACACTCAAAATTTTGCACATAGTTTAGGTGAGTTCATGAGCTTCCTGAAATTTGACTTACATGAGTTGAAATGTCTATAATGTAAAGTAAGCCTACTATTTAGGGGAAGCACACCTACATTATATCCAAATGATGCTGAACAATTAAAACAATACTTTGAGAACAGGATTTGAAACTGCGAAGTCCTCCCATACCACAGGCCCTGTGCTAGGTTCGGTATGGGACAGAAAGTGGAATGAGGCAGGTTGTCATCCCTCACGGAGCTCACAAGCTGCTGGGTGCATGTGCAAACAACTAGATTTAAGGCAAGACACCCTCACTCTAGCGGCAATATGAGTAATGTGCTGTGGAAACTCAGAGGAGGTAATGATGAATTCTAAATAAAATATAACACTTCATAAGTTTCCATTTCTCTGCATGCAGTCTGATAGCATACTATATCATCATCATCGTCATCATTTTAAAGAAACCTGGACAATTCAGAAAAGTTTTTCTGGCTGCTGAGAAACACCACTGCTATCCAAGCTTGTATTTCAGGGCTCCTCATTTTATCATTTTTAATTCATGAGAGACACACACCACTGCAGTATGCTGCAGAGCTGAGAACATGGGGCTTTACAATCAGACAGACTTGAGTTTATATCACCACCTTGTTGTGGGTCTTTAAACAAGGGGCTCTACTTCTCTGAACCTCAGTTTCTTCACCTTAAAATAGGAGATAAAATACCTATTTTGCATTGCTTTTTGAGGAATAAAAATAACATTTGTAAAATACTAACATGACCTCTGGAACCTGGTAGGGGCCCTAAAATGGTAATCATTATCTTTTATTTTTATCTATAGTCAGGTATATAGATTCCCTGTCAGAAAGTATTAGGAATTTCTAATATAGAAAAAAGCTAATATATTCTTTATGTAAGAACTATGTATCAATCAGCTATTGCCATAATAATGCTGCATAACAAACCACCTCCAAAACTCAGTGGCTTGCATCACCCACTCATGGGTCTATAGTTTGACTGTCATTCAACTGATGTAGGAGGTCTTAGCTAAGCCACTCTGCTTTAAGATATAGATAAGTTGGTCTTGGTCCAAGCCATGGGTTTAATTCAGGTCTGCTCCACAGTTTTTATTCTGAGGTTCATTCTGAAGTTGAATGAACAAACCTGAGCATTTTCACTGGTTGAGGCCACAGCATCCAGTAGACTGCCCTCACTTCAGACAACAGCTGTGTTTGGGGGTCCCCATGCCACCTGCATTTCTGCATAGCTGGCTATAAATTTTGGGGTTCAAATTACTCCCTCACGTTCTGTAATTCATATAAAAAATTCACAGAACTTAGGAAAGTGCTATACATATGATTACAGTTTTATTATAACAAAAGGATACAAATCAGAACCAGCCAAAGGGAGAGACACACAGGACAACACTTCTATTATCTCTCCCTGTGGAGTCAATTTACCTCACCCTTTCGGCACACTGATGTGTGACAATATGCAGAATTTTGCCAAACCAGGAAGCTCACCTGAGCTTTGATGTCTGGAGTTTTCATTGGCGTCCCATTACATAGGCATGATTGACTGAATTATTGGCCATAAGGTTGAATTCAATCTCCAGCTCCCCCTTCTCTCCCTGAAGGTCAGGCTGATATCATGTGGTTCAAAGCCCCAACCCTCTAATTAGACCAACCCTCTAATGGTTAGTCTTTTTGACATGGCCAGCCCCCATTCTGTGTTATTGCCTTATATACTTGCTTCAGGCCCACCTTGAGTCTTTTTAGCATAAACTTTCCAGCCTATCTTGAATAACAGAAATACTTCTATTAACTCATGAAATCCCAAGGATTTAGGGGCTACATCACAGGTAGGCCAGACAAATTCTTTATTCAAAGGGTTTAGAGGTAATCTCCTAACCTGGGACAAAGGCCAGAAAAATCCTTTATTACACAACCCATCTGTGCCTTCCATTGGACTTCAAGCTCTTTGAGGGCAGAGGGGATGTCCTTTTCTTCTCTGCATACCCCACAGCCTCTAGCCCAGCACCCTCCTGGGGAAACATTGCTTACATTGGTAAAAGTAAAGCTTTGGTCATAGAGCTTCAGAATAAATGATTTGGATGAGCCTTTGGAGACCGATTAGACATTCTAATGCATTCACTTCATACATGAGAAAATGAAGGACCAGGGAGTTTACATGGTTACCCCAGAACACACACTGAGCAAACTGAAGTTCTACTCTAATGTTTCTTTATCCCCAACTGGGCACGCACTCGCCACTGACCTGCCTCTACATGCATGAGCACAAACCTAAGCATACATACCCTGCTTTCTTCCTTACCTCAAAGAAACCAGTGATAAGCTAGGAAAAGGGAAGAGGTGACAGATAAAAACGCAAGAACTGAAATATGACTATGAAGTCAATCTTTAAGTGTGATTTATTTAATTTCTGACCTTCGCATGCCTCTTTCCTGCTCAGCCCTAAAAAGTTCATTCCATTTTCACCAGCTTGTTAGACTGTATGGCTTCTTAAAAGGATAAAGTCTTTTTTTTTGGTAGTTGTTCTATTTAATCTCTGCCCATTGCCAACCTCTTAAATTAAAATAATAATAATAATAATAATAATAATAATAATAATAATAGGATCAAAAATACTATAATATATTGGGTTGTTGGAAAAGTCATGATGCATTTTTGCAATGAAAAACATAGAAAAAATACGTCATGACTTTTCCGACAACCTAATATTTTAACACTCTCATCTGGAAGCAAGAATTTTTTAATGAGTTCTTTTTCCTAACCAGTCTAATGCGGTCCTAGTGGTTCTCCATTTACATGTTTATCCAGGAGGGAACAGAACACACCTCTAGTATCTATCCTGGTACACAGAAGTGCTCAGAGAATGACGGCTGAATTGATAATAGAGTAAGTGCTACTTAAACAAATTTTTCCAGCATATGAAGATTAGTCTAGCTAGAAGCCTCCTTACACTTCTCATCTTAACTCTCCACTTTCCCATTACCACCGAGAGATAATAGTAATGCTTATCCATGTGGAAGGCCACCTTCTTCTCTTACATACCACTCCTGGTCAGTCTGGTTGTAGAAAAATATTTGCACCGTTCAGTACAGTTACTGTATTAATTACAGAACTCATGAACCCATTACTTTTTATTTCTAAAGGTGAAACCAAAGCATGGAAGAGGCAAAGGCTGATAGTATTGGATATGCAACTAGGCAATGTGCTTACCTAGATGTAAATTCTCAGTTCATGTGTGCTGAATCTGAACCCTAATGGGAGACTCAAGATAATATACATCTCAATCTTTTATTCTCAACAATGAAATTATAACAGGGAAAAATGCATTTGTCTTTCAGTGAGTTCAACTCATGCGTACCCAAAGCTGGCTCCATACCGCCCGGCAGGACAGCTGCTGTCTCCTCCTCTACTGCTCTCAATCTTTTTGAATTCCTGTTTCACCCTCATTGTACAGATCTGTGCATTTCTCTATGTGAAGCAGCAGCCATGGTACTGTGAGGTCTACAGATACAGGTAATGTTCAATTAGTTTTCGTTTCTGAAGGTGATACAATGAATACCCAGTGACATTGTACAACTGGTTTGAACATAAACCCTAAATTTTTAATTAGCAAAAGTTGTGTCTCCACATTGCAAAAAATCAGTGATGAGATGGAACACCAAACAGCACTCATGGGTACAGTCCTGAGGTGAGCCATGTGGAATGGGTGGGAAAAGATCTTCATATTGGTTGTTGATGTACAGGTCTAACAACTGGTGGGCTGAATGTGTGTGTTAATTCCCTGGTGGTTTGGATATCTTATAGTCCAGGAGTCAGCAAACATTTTTGTAGAGAGCCAGATAGTAAACAGTTTGGGCTTTGTGGGCTAGATGGTCTCAATGCAACTATTCACTCTATTGTTTAGTGGAAAAGCAACCATAGACAACACATAAACAAGGGGGTGTGACTGTGTTCCATAAAACTTCATTTACAAAAGTTGTTGGTGAGTTGAATTTGGTCTATGGCCTGTAAGTCTGCTGGCCCCTGATGTACAAGAGATTTGCTTAAATTAGTTTGGATTTTTCAAATGAATGTTAAAATTAAAATTAGTTGATGGTATCATTATTCTGATTGAATTGAACACTAGACTCGGGGAAAGACTCTTCACCTCCCCAGACTTTAATTTCTTTCACTACAAGTTAAGGGTAAGATGAGGTGAACTTTGCTATAGATATTTTAACTTTATTTTTTTCTGACAAAGCCTGCCTGACCTCCAAAAGGAAAGGCAGAAAGAGCTACTCTTTTTGAAGATGGGCTTATACAAACTCCCTCTCACTCCACTGTGGTCTTGAAGGCATCAGAGCCCAGGAATCAGGGAAAGATAGGTTGAAAGCTACTAAATGATGTTTAAGATTGTCATTTAGACCTCAGATTCAAAAATCCAAGTACTACTTGGAATACAGAACTCATTTTTTTTTTAAAGAAGATTTTCTTCCATATTGGACTGCATATATTCAGAGACGTAAAGGTCTGATTGAACCTAGGAGACAGCATGGTGTAGCCAAAAGGGTGATGGATGGTACACTATCCTTAAGTAGCCATGCCATATTAGCCCTCAGCTTTCTTATATCCAATGTAAGTATATTGGATTAGATACATTTTGGTGGTAAATTCTATGCTTCAGGCCTTCTAGCCTATCTGTCCCCTTTGTGCAAAAATGCTTTGTGACTACTGATTGTTTCATTAATGTATTCAACAAACATTAACTGAACATCTAAATACACATTTCAGGATCCTAGGAAGCCAAGGATGATAAGACCTAAGTCTTGTATTTGAGGTCACATTTGGAAAATGGATTTTATCTATAAACAGTTATAATAGTAAAAATCTACAAGCTCAACAAGAATGCAGATGGAAACTAATTTGTGGGTTTGATTATTGAAAAAAATGAACACAGCAAGTGAACAATGCAAATAGAGATGTGGGAAAGTCCGTATCTTAAAATATTTTTCTGAGCAAATGTTATGTGGTATCACTTTGTTAGGTGCTAAGTATTTGCTGTAAATTTGAGTAAAACAATAACAAAAGAAAAACAAAAGAAAAATTTCATGTTCAAGAAACTCTCATCCCAGGGGGTGGAAAATAAAAACATATGAATGAATAATTGGAAAACAATGAACTAAATTTAGCACTAGAAGGAAGAAAGGGGGGGCACTAGTTATGTTTGCCAGCAAAAGTAAAGATATTTCAGATAGAGCGATGTTACAGGGAATAGCACGTCTGACCCCAGAGGTGTGCAAATGGTGGTATTTGGGGAGCAAGGAATATTCTTATGTGTTTGGAGTATAAGGAACATGGGACGACTGGCAAAAGATAAGGCTAGGAAGGTACATTGAGACCAGAGTGTGAAGGCCTTCTGGGCCTGACTGAGATGTTTAAACTTACTTTATTAGCAAAATAAAGCCATAGACATTCATAATCAGGAGAGTGTCATGCTCAGATCCTCAGGAATAGCCTTTGGTTGTGTGAGGACAGTGAATTAGAGCGGGCAGATCAAACTCAATACCCAAGTTCTCAAGTTACAAGGCTCACATCAGTCCATGAAAGAGAAAACAGTACACACACACACACACACACACACACACACACACACACACGCACACAGACACACAAACACAAAACACACACACACACGAACGCATGCACACACACACAAAACACACACACACAGTTCATTTACTCAGAATTGAAAGGAATACCATAGAAAATTGTCATTTAAGCCCTTGAAGACAGACCACTCATCCTACGTGGAATGCTGGACAAATAACAATATTGACTTTCTCTGAATTTTATTTCTGCTTCGTCATTGCTAAGAGGTGAACAAAATATGTCTTGGTAGTTACTGGCTACAACAGTTTGAAAGCTGAGGTCCCATGGTAGTGATTAACTATTTTTTTCCTACCAGCTGGATAGAAAAATAGAATAAAAAGTCCCATAAATGTTGGTGATTCTTTTGTAGTGAGTGCTTCCTGCACAACCAAAGTAATTTCTCAGCAAATGTGAGTTTGGAAAGAAACTGGACTGGAAATGCAACTCTGACCCCTGCTTCAATTTTAAGTTTTGAGAGTACCACTCTGTGGCCCATCGCCACCATCAACTGTATCACAGTAGCATTTATCTTTTCTAAGGGAAAGCCATTTCGAAAACCCATCTACACAAACTGTAAGTATATGAAGTTTAGGTTTTTTAAATATTATTTCCCACTCTCTTGCCCTCCCCAGAGTTGCAACTCGCTGTTGAAGTGATTGACTGAAAAGGAAACAATTACATTGCTCTAAAATTGAGTACTGAATAGTGATTTTCATAGGTGATTTTACCTGCATATTTGCAGAGAAGCACATGCACTATTAAATGGTCACGAGTCCTGCCATATTGTGAGTCATCAAGAACTTTAAGCGTGTGTGTGCATGTGTGTCTGTGAAGGTATTTTGCAAAAGGCTTTCCAACCAATTGAAATACAACTTGACCTCTTCTGTGACTTTATAACATTGAACAAGTTACTTTAATTATTCTGTGTATCTCTTTGATCACCAGTGCGGATGAACATATATTCATGTTATTAGCTATTTCTTCTTCCCTGGATCGTCTAGTTACATTTTTTATCCATTTTTTTCTATTGGGTTGCTGTTATATTTCTTATTTATTTGTATAAGCTGTTTATTCCTTTGTGATTTTTTTCTATTGCCTTTATGCACAATTTTTTCTCATTGCAAAATCAGATTATTATTTATTTAGTTTTTAAAATTTCCTTTAATGCCTTTTAAATCTAATGTTAATTTTGGGACATAGTTTGAGGTGGAGATCAAACGAGTTTATATAACTAGCTGCTAGTTTTCCCAGTAGATTTTATTATTTAACATTCCTTTTGGCCACTTATTCTTCAACTGAATGTAACATCACCATTATCATACCTATATTCATGTTTATTTATGGTTTTCTCATATACATAATTTATATTATGTGAGTTTTGTTATATTTATAAATATTATATACTTATATATTAATTTGTATATAATTAATATTTTCTAGACTATCCTTTCTTTTTCATTGATATGCCAGCTTATTCTTGATCTACCACCAAACTTTAAAAGTTGTAAGTTTTAATAAGTAGTAAGATTGGTATATCCTCATTATTCTTCATTTTTCAAAAATGTCTTACTTTTCTTTCCTGTTCATTCTTCCAAATAAACTCTTGAATAAATTATCAGACTTTTAAAAAAATCCCCCTTGGGAAAAATTTGTTTACACATTTTAGTCCTCACATTTAAGAACATGTTATGTCTCTCCATTTATTCATGCTTCTTTTCATGTCTCTTAGTAAATATTTATCATTTTCTCTATTATAGATCCTGCACATTTATTTAAGAAAGTAGCTGTATATTTTTTGTGTATTCATCTATATTGTGAATGACTTTTTTCCATTATGTTTTATAACCAATTATCACTAATACATCTGAAAGGTATAGTGTTGTTTTATATTTATTTTCTCTCCATAACCCTTTCTGAATTTTGCTATCAATCTTTGAGACTTGAGTGTTCTAGAAAAATAAATATTATTATCTGCAAGTGATATTGTTTCTTCTTCCTTTCCAATAGCAAAAATGTTTATTTATATTTTCTTAGTGTATAGTCCAGAATTTCCAGGACAATGTTAAATAATATTGGTAATAGCAAATATTTCTCCTTAATAAAAATACTTCTAGTAGTTTTTACTTGTAAATATGATTTTGAATATTGGTTCAAGGTAGGCTACATTATGCAAAGAAAATATGCTTCTGTACCTAGTAAATCTAAAGTATGCTTTAACATCCAGAATGGGAGATGTATTTCATCAAATGCCTTCCCATAACCCACTGAGATGATTAATCATTTGTTTTTCTCCTTTGACCTATTGCTAAAATATATTAAGAACCTTATTATTAGGTCAAAATGCTGAAGTAGGTATGCTGTGTTTGCCTCTTCTCGTGACCATATCAAAATTACAACTAAACTACAGAACAACCATCATTGAGAATTATCTGAAGTCTAGCTGGAACAAAGTCCTGCCGCTAAGGACATACAGAAGAAGCTACCTCAATACTGGTGAGAGGGACAGAGATGCAAAACAGGCGGGTCCCACACCTCTGTGTGACCTTTAAAAATTGGGAGGGATATGTCAACTGTGGAGTTCCCCCCTGGAGGAGAGAGGGGTCCCAGACCTACACCAGGATCTCCAGCCCAGGGTTCCAGTGCCAAGGAGAGAAGTCCCCATAACTTCTGACTGTGACAACCAGAGGAGATTGTGGCTGAGTGAGCCGAAGGCAGCTGCAGTCCCAGATGATACTCTTAAATGGCCTGTACACAGACTTACTCACAGATGGACTCACTTGCTCTCAGCTCCAGCACTGGAAAAGCAGCTTGAAAGGTGCCAGTGACACATGGGAAGGAAGTGAGTTGCCTGGCTGCAGGGCGAGGACTGGAGGGGCAGCTTTCTTTCAGAAAGAAGTGCTCTCAGAATCCATTGTTTCTTGTTGAGCCCTCCCTCCTCCCAGTGTGCAGACATACATGCTATCATATCTGAGTCCCCATCAACTTGACTACCATCATTCTTTTACCCTAACCTGGTTATTCCCTGTGACCTTGCCCCACCCAACTTTCAGGCCCACCCAAGCAACTTCCATTGGCTGTCCCATACATACAGCCTGTCTTGGCTCATGCTGCAAACATTCCTAAAATCTCTCAAAGTTTTACAAAACCCAAACAAGCAGCATCTGGGTTTGGTGTCCTGTACCTCTTGCTGAGCAGCCCCAAACCCAGTACTAGTGGCAGTCTGCTTCAGTTCATGCTTGGTCCCTCCAGGCACCTTTAAGCCCAGCACAGTTGGTGGCCATCTGTGGATTGCTTTGTGGCTTATGCCAGGTGGGCCTGGGCAGGGCACAGGCTGCAGCTGATATTGGCCTGCAGTGGGTTCAGTCCCAGAAGGCCTCATGCTTTAGACTGAGCCAGAGTACTACCTGGCCACCTCTGGGGAAAACACACCCAAAGGGCACACTGGGCAGGCACCAGGGCCCTACTAAAGCCAATCCTGCTCTGTAGGATCAGCCCCTGCACAACAGCTCCTCCACTGTAGTCATGACCAGTCCTCATAACCAATTAGTCTGAGGATCAATCCCTCCCACTGATGTGCAAACAGCAACCAAGGCTCAACTACAACAGGAGGGCACACACAACCCCTACAATGAACACACCTGAAGCACCCAGCTGAGGTGACCAGGGAGACTGCACCACTGGGTCCCACAGGAAATCTACTACATAAGGCCACTCTACTAAGACCAGGAGACATAGCAGCCCTACCAATACATAGAAACAAACTCAGGGAGGCAGCCAAAATGGGTACACAGAGAAATATGTGCCAAATAAAAGAACAGAACAAAACTCCAGAAAAAGAACTATACAAAATAGAGACAAGCAATCTACACATGCAGAGTTCCAAACACTGGTATAAGGATGCTCAGTGATCTCAAGGAGAACTTCAACAAAGAGATAGAAAACATAAAAATGGAGATAGAAAACATAAAAAAGAACCAGTCAGAAATAAAGACTACAATGACTAAAATGAAGACTACATTAGAGGGAATCAACAGTAAATGAAATGAAGCAGAGGATCAAACCAGCAATGTAGAAAATAAGGTAGCAGAAAACACCCAATCAGAACAGCAAAAAGAAAAAATGATCCAAAAATTGAGGATAGTTTAAGAGGCTTCTGGGGTAATATCAAGTATACCAATATTTGCATCATAGGGGATACCAGAAGAAGAAGAAGAGAACAAGGAATTGCAAATCTATTTGAAAAAATAATAATGGAAAACTTCCCTAACCTGGTGAAGGAAATAGATGTACAGCTTAGGAAGCATTGAGAGTCCCAAACAAGATGAACCCAAAGAGGCCCACACCAAGACACATCATAAATAAAATGCCAAAGTTTAAAGATCAAAGAATCTTAAAAGCAGCAAGAGAAAAGCAGTTAGTTACTTACAAGGGAGCTTCCATAAGACTTCCAGCTGATTTCTCAACAGAAACTTTACAAGCCAGAAGTGATTGGAACAAAATATTCAAAGTGATGAAAAGCAAGGACCTACAACCAAGATTACTCTACCCAGCAAAGCTATCATTTAGAACATGCAGCTCTTTGGGTACGTTCCATCTCAAAAGTTTGCCAACCCCTGGAAGAGCCAATCCTGTCCCTCACAACAATTTAGAAATTATTCGAGAGCCATAAATGTATTTTTACATAATCACCATTATGTGAATAATATCCTTTAAAAATTTTATGAATGAAACTAATGATAGTTTTATTTTCATTTTCAATTTTACTTCAGAGCCTGCGGCTCGCGAGCTGCAGTTTGCTGACCCCCGGCGGCTCCTCCGTCTCAAAAGTTTGCCGACCCCTGATTTAGAATCAAAAGACAGTTGAAAGAGCTTCCAAGAGAAGAAAAAGCTAAAGGAGTTCATCACCACCAAATCAGTACTACAGGAAATGTGACAAGGACTTCTGGAAGAAAAAGTAGAAAAAAACAAGTGGAAAATATGAATAATAAATTAGCAATAACTACATATCTATCAACAATTACTTTAAATGTAAATGGATTAAATGCTCCAATCAATAGATAGGGTAGCTGAATGGATAAGAAGACCCTTACAGATGCTGCCTACAAGAGACTCACTTTAGATTGAAGACACACACACAAACTGAAAGTAAAGGGATGGAAAAAGATATTTCACAAAAATTGAAACAACAACAAAAAGCTGGGATAGCAATACATACACCAGTCAAAATAGACTTTAAAATAAAGGCAATAACAAGAGACAGAAGGACCCAATAATCCCACCTTTGGGTATTTATCCAAAGAAACCTAAAATGCTACTTCAAAGGGACATGTGCATCCATATGTTCGTTGCAGCATTGTCTACAATGGCCAAGATCCACGTGGAGGCAGCCTGGGTGTCTCTCAGTGGATGAATGGATAAAGAGGAGGTGGTGCATATATTCAATGGAATATTGCTCAGCCATGGAAGGGAATAGGTTCTTGTCACCTGTGGCAGCATGGGTGGACCCAGAGGGTATTGTGCTGAGTGGAGTATGTCAGACAGAGAAAGACAGATGCAATGTGATTTCACTTATATGTGGAATATAAAGAACAAAAAAAACAGAAACAAACTCATAAAGAGAACTTGCTAAATGGGAGGGTGGTGCATGAATAGAAGGGATTAAGAAGTACAAATTGTTTGTTACACAGTGTTCATGGGGATGTAGAGTGTAGCATAAAGAACATAGTCAATAACATTGTAATAACTATGAATGGTGTCAGAGGGTACTAGTTTTATCGGGTGATAGTTGAGAGTGGGGTTGGGGGACATGTTGAAAATGGTGAAGGGACTAAGAAGGACAAATTGGTAGTTACAAAACAGTCATGGGGATGTAAAGTAAAGCACAGGGGATATGAGTATAGTCAACGGTATGGTAACAACTATGCATAGTGTCAGGTGGGTACTAGACTAGTCAGGAGGATCACTTCTTAAATTATATAAATGTCTAACCACTACACTGTACACCTGAAATTAATATAAAATAATATTGAATGTCAACTGTCTTGAAAAATTAAAAGTGGGGGGGAACAGTGAAGAAGAATAAGAGGTCCAAATTTCCAGGTATAAAACAAATAATTCATGGGATGTAATGTACAGCATAGGGAATATAGTCAATAATATTGTGATAGCATAAAATAATGTCAGATGGTTGCTGGACTTATCATGGTGATCACTTGTTTATGTATATACATGTTGAATAACTATGGTGTACCCCTGAAACTAATGTAATATTGTATTTATTAATTATTATCATATTATTGATTATATTCCCTATGCTAAAGAAGTGATCACCATAAGTCCAGCAACCATCTGACACTATACCGTGCTGTCACAATATTATTGACTATATTTCCTATGCTGTATATTGCATCCCCATGACTTATTTGTTTTATATCTGAAACTTTGCACTTGATCTTAGCCAAAAGGCCGAGAAGCGATATATATCTGAAACTTTGAACATCTTATTCTTCTTTATCTTTCCTACTTTTAAAATCTTAAAGTAAAAGAAACTTATTATTAAATCATCTTCACATTCATGAGCAAACCCTACTTATTTGTAAATTTTAATTTTATAAATTATAAAATTTAGTGAATTAAATTTTATAGTCTTTTAATATCTACATTTTATATGGGATTGGTCTGATTTTTTGTGTGTCATATTTTGTTAGGTTTAGCATTAGACTTGAAAACTCTTCAAATTTTTCTTTCCTCTGAAAATATTTTATATATAAAAATTGTCTATTCCTTGACAATTTGCAAAAATTCAGTAAAGTCATCTGGTTCCAAATCCTTTCTCTGAAATAATTATTATTAAAGATTGACTAAGTTTTCAAAATAACAGTATTTTTCCCAGATAATCCCCATTTTATTGAGATTATCAAGCCTTCATATAAGATTTTAGGTGGTATTTTCATATAATTTTTAATGTCTTCTACAACTCTTTTACTGTCTTCTCATCCTAATGATATTTACATGTATTTTTTTCACTCTTTTTATTTATTTCTACCAAAATTGTATTTATACTGGTTGTCGTTAAAGAACTAGCTCTCAGATTCTGTATGCTTTCTATTTTCTAATTTAATTTTTTCCCATTCTTTTCCCACTCTTCTTACTTTCTTTGAAAAAAAAATGTTTAATATTTGAATTCACTTTATAATTTTTGCATTTTCTTTTATTCTTATGAAATGAAAAAGCATTTGAGACCCATAATTGTAGTTTGGGTTGCACTCTTTATACTGTCATGTGTCTCTAACTATTACTTAATTTTCTCTTTGACCTACTAGTTTTCAGAATAGTTATTTTTATTATTCAAGTGGAAAGGGATTTAATTTTTATTCTCCTATTACTCTTTTTCTCAATAGCTTACAAGCAAACTTGATTTCCTTTTTGACCCAACGGATTTTTAGAATTTTGTTTTACTTGGAGTATCAGGCAGGATATTTTATTTAAATTGTTTAATAATTTCTAGTTTTATTGTCATAATCAGAGACTCTATATTGTAAAATTTCTGCTTCAGAAAATTTACTACAGTTTTGTATATCACATGGTATAAATGCTAATCTTTAATTTTCTAAATAAGTCATAAATACTAGAAAAGCAAGTCTTATTCCTATTCCTAAATTAGAAATGGACATTTACTATATTAAACCAGTTTTTAGCAATTATAGTATTCACATTTTCTCTGTTCTCATCTCCTCACCTCCCCCCCACTTTTTTTGTATAGCTGTTTTGTCAAAGGTTTTGAGAGCAAGCTAAGATTTTCTTTAAGTTTATATATTTTTAAACTTCTTCCTGAATTTATTATAATTTTTAAAATTTTGATACAGTATTTGATAATGACCTTGGCTCTTATCACAACAAATCAAGATCCTACTTTATATTTTGAAGCTAATCTCTTACAGTCCTTCTTTTATTGTAAACATGTTTTACAAGGAGGATATATTCCATTAGCTAGTACTTCAATTTCAATAGTAGCTACAAAGTCCTTTTGCATAAATTGAATTTATTAAAGCTGGATTAGTTGCATCATAGTGATTTAAAGCTTTTGGATAAACTCAAACCTGTATGTCAAACACAACTGATAATTTTAAATGAAAAAAGTTTTATAAACAAATATTCTGACCAACATAATCTTATAAGTGATATTTTCTCAAGGTTACAAGTCAAAAGCCCTTGAAACTACTATTAAAATATATGAGCAATTTTATTTTGATTTAACAGAAAAGTCTTTACCCTTAACAGCGTTTAACAGAAGATAAATGTGTGATAATGACATATAGAAAAAGTACAGGTTAAATTTTTATGGGGACAGGTGTGAATATTCAATAACCTTTTCTTTATCTGAAAGTAATCTGTAATGGCTTGTCCAGGATTCGTCTTCCCAAATCACCTATGTAAACACAGCCCCATTCTTTCAAGCTTTCTCATCAATAGTGACTAACCAAGGAACATTCATTTTAGTTCTTCATGACATTTTCTAATCACAGATGAATTAAAGAAGAGCGCCTTATAATTTTGTTTCCACACTGCTCATTTATGCACTAGGCTGGCCTGCTTTTCATGTCACTAGCCTGAGATCAGTGTAATGGGCATAGCACTCAGCCCAGTGGCTAGTGAGGACCAGGATGGATGTTTGGGGCATCATCTTCCCAGCATCCGGGTGCCTGGGCCTTGGAAACAGTGAAGTAAATGAAAAATCCGCATAGCCATTTCCTGTGGTCCTCTTATCACCATGATGCTCAGATTGCTTTATTTTCAGAGATGCAACTCCAGCTTTTCTTCTCTTTGCCTCACACCCTTCCCAAGCAAGTTTGGGTAATTCTTCCAGGAGATGCTGCATCTAGCTGTATATACAAAGTGAGTCTTAGATGAATATGAGGGCAGGTGTAGGTGCACAAGGGTGAAAGCAGAGTTCTGGTGGCTTCAAAACTTAGGGTCTGCTGTAGAGGAGCAGTTACCTCTGATTTCTGGTTGGTATTGACCTATACAGAGTTGGGGGCCAGTAGATCATCAATATTAGAATAAATGGGCATTTAAAAAAAACAAACTTTGTTTGTTTATAAATTTTGAGGATTATGAGAATCATTTATATCATGGAAACACTGATTACATGCTATTGTTTCAGCCTGAAGCTGCTGATCTATCAAAAGAGCATTTATAAGGTACCATCCTCAAAGTCTTAAAAGCTCTGATGGGCACAGGAGTGGGTGGGGTTGGTGGGTATGAGCAGTGATGTTGGCAGAGTGCATCCTGGGAAATTTAGCTCCCTAAAGTGAAGGAATTTGGGCAGGTTAGGGAGAGAGAACCCAGCAGATGTGCATGCCAGTGTCTCACTTTTACAATTCAGAGCTCCAGAGAAGCAGATACAAAGTCACTTTCAAGTGGTTACAGTCTAGTTGACACATAAATGAAGATCATGCAAAGCAGAGTGTGATATACACCACTGAAATAAAAGTTTGTAAGGAAGGATTGGGAATCTTTAAAGAGAAAGTGGTATTTGAACTGGGCTTTAATAAACAATTGGAACTTGCCAAGACAGGGAGAATATGATCTACACAGGGTATTGTGTGAACAGAGGCAAAGAAGCTGGAAACTGTTGATCCTCTGTGGAAGCAGTAGGTTTGTGGCTTAACTTTTCTATGCACATAAGGAAAAGCAATGAGAGATCAGGTTGAAAGCTGACTGAAGCCTTGAATGTCAATCAAAAACCCTTGGAGGGCTGGCCGAGTGGCGCGTTGCTTAAGAGCTGGCTTGGGACACCAGAGGGCCCCGGTTCGGATCCCACATATGAGGGCCAATGGCACTGCCCTCTACAGCTGGGATGCTGAACAACAGCTCAACCTGCAGCTGGGCTGCCTTTAGTTGCTGGCGATGGCTAGGCTGCAGCCCCTGCTGCAGTGGGTTGTCATGGGAGCCGCTGTGAGCGGCAGTCCAAAATCCAGCGACTGATCTGCCTCGCCCAGGAAGAGCGCAATGATGGTGCCAACTTGGGCCAGTGAAGCAACATCCTCCACAACTAGACTGAAGAACAAATGGGCAGCTACTTGTCTGTTCCCCTCCCCCAGTTCCCCAATTAAAAAAAAAAAACTTTAAAAAAACCCCTTGGACTTGATTCTCTAGGCAGTGAAGAAGAATGAGGTGCTGCCAGCAGGATGGACTGTTTATCTGTGCATGCACAACTCACTGGACACATGGTGATAAGGCATCATGGCCTCTCTGGTGGCCATGTACATGGGCTGTCACTGTGGGATATCCCAACCCCCCAGAACTCCTCAGTAGAGGTAACTCCTTTATGGAGTTCACTACAATGCATTTATTAGCAGCTTTCTATACCCAGCCTTTCAAGGAAAGATTCTAAGATATCACCTTTGTCTTGTAAGCTTTAGAACATATTTTAAAACATCTGAGGATACAGCAAAGCATCTGAAGATGTATCCGGTATTTGCCCAACAGAGATAATTGATTCTGCAATGTGTGCCAAATTATGTGAAACATTCTTTTAGCATCTAAAAATAATGTTTGGTGTTTCTTTAGATATATTCTCACTTCTGCTGATATCTGCCTTGGCCCTCACAGTTTTCATTCTGTTTTCTGATTTTCAAGATATATACCATGGGATGGAGGTAAGCGGCATTCATTTGCACATTTGGCATGACTCACCTGTACAGTGGGGCCATATTTGCATGGTGGTTTGCGATTCAGTTGTTGCCATAGTCTCTCTGATCACTGAATATTGTGAGGCTATTCTCACTTACTAGAAGAGCAAATAACATATCTGGATTTCACATATGTTGGGCTCTGATTGTTTTCTTAGTATTATCAATGGGGTACATTTATCCTGTTCACATCTGAAATATTATGTTTGAATACTTTATGCTCCTATGTTATACTAATACAACGTTAACTTATTAATCTAATAATTCTGCAAGTTTAATTTTTTAAAAATATAGTAGAAATCCTTTGTAATGTAGCTGTAAGGAGTAAGAAAAAGTAGATTATAAGTCAGTCATGTTCTGTCTGTCAGACAATGACTGTAAGGAGTTTTATTTCAGTGGACATGATTTGATCCAGGGTACAGTGGGTTAAAATTAAATTTAATAAGGGGTTAGTGAATCCATTCTTGGACCCAACATTGTGGGAGAAATAAAGAAAGAGGAGAATTGTCTCTTGGCTTCCAATCTGTAGTTCTGTTATGAAGATGAGTGATACTTGAGTGAAATAATGACATGGCCACCAGAGGCCATCCAGGTGGCCGGCCCTCCATGCTGGAAGAAAATATAAAGATAAAAGAGAAGTAGGAAGAACATAGAGGCCTGTGACTGTCATGGGAGGACTCACGGAGGAGATGCAGCTTGACCCGAATCTGGAAGGATAGGCTAGATTTTGCTAGGGAAGAGTTAGGGATATCCCCAACTAGGAGAACAGCCTAAGCACCAGCAAAGAGGGCTGAAAAAAATCTCTTTTGCCTTGGAAATAGAAAAGAATTGGGGTGGCAGATATAAAAGTCAAAACCAAGGTTTGTTTCACAGAACACCTGGAAACATGGCTCAGGTTGAGGCAGCAGGTTGTGAAGGGTGAGGAAGGAAGGCATGGATGGATGAAGGCAGCCGGGGAAGTTTGGATTTATGCTGAGAGCAACAGAGTCCTGGAAGCTATCTGAGCAGGTTTCTCAGCAGAGCGTTTAAGACGGGTTAATTAGATGATGGCAGGACAGCTGTGTGTGAGAGCAGAGAGGTGTGGCGAGAGAAGCAGTTAGGAAGCGAAAACCTAGACCATTCAGTCATTGACGAACCATGAAGCTTCAAAGTATGCTTGGCCCATGAGGAAGATGTGATCACCACTCTCAAGTAGTTTAGAAGGTAGGAGGGAAGACCATCACATAAGCAAATAATTCCAAGACAGTGTGACGAGTGCCTTCCAGACCAAGCGACGAAGAGACCTCCCAGGTCAGGGCGGTGGCAGCAGTGGGGGAAAGGGCCAGGTTTTCTGTTATGGTCTGACCCACTGCCGTATCTTACAGCCTTCTCCAAACAACACTTGCACCCAGTATATTGCATTTCACAACCCCGAGAAAGGCTCTCTCAACTTGGGGGGAAAATAACAGTGTTACTTTGAAATAATTCATATCAGAATAAGGATGAGAATTAAAGGTGAGCATTTAGACACTGTGGAGGGTCTGTGGTTTTAGCCCTAAAGGCAGCTCAGTCCTCTACACAGTCATCCATATTCTGTCATTTAGGGTCAGAAAGGGGGCTGTGTATAACTTTTTATTTTTACTTTTTTGCTGTGGATGCAGCCATGGGAAGTTGTAGCTCTCACACCTATGAAATAAGTGTAGTTGGTGGTCAATATATACAAATTAATCCTTAAAAGGAGGTGGGTTAGGTGGGTTCTATTTTCATCAAGCCATCAGATTTAGGGTTGGGGAGATTTGTTCAGAAGATGTTCCCTTCGTTTCAGGTAAAATAAACTTGAACGTCTGTCCCCCTTATGTTTGCCCATAGGTCAATTTTACTGAAAGAATGAATTCCAAGTAGATTTTGCTTTGAGAGAATTAGAAGTAATAATATTCTTAGATGAGTGATTTAATCTTATGCCTTCTTCCCTCTATTTGAAAAGATAAAAACAAAGACAGGCACACAGGCTCCAAAGTGTCACATCTGCCACCCAGAGTACACCTCCTAGGGGCCTATCATCAGGCAATGGAGGGAGCACAGGCCAGGAGAGTCAGTTCTCATTTGAATTCTGGCTCTGCCATTTGTTCATTGACTTTGCGCCCTTGGGCCAGGCACTGACCTTCTCATCTGTGAAGTGATGAAAGTAATGCCTACCCTCCAAGCTCAGGGAGTTGTTACAAATATACAAATTAAATGTGTTTTTTCAAAGTGTAAGGTATGAAAAGTTTAATGGTGGTATTTCTTTTTTTTACCAGTTCCTTCCCACCATAACATCATGGAGGGTTTCGATTTTGGGGGCAAGCCTCACCCAATTCTGCGTGGCCTTCTTTGTGGAGGTAAAGTAATTTCTATATGGCGCCTATTATTCTTCTGGGGAGATAAACAAATAAAGGGCCTCATTCTCAACAGATGCTCATTTTTTAGAGCGAACTCGTTTATCCCCAGTAGTAGTAGTTATTAAGGGTTTGTAAAAACTATACATGTTCTTTTGGGGGGCAGTTCCTTGAAGAATGATTAAAAATTCCTTGAAGTCTGCATAGAAATGCTCTTAGTATCTGTAGCATAGAAAGCAAAACATCAAATTAATTCTAATTTTGCCTCACCTGAAGGCATTGTATTGTACTTTTCTAGTATTCTCAATAATTTAGTAGCAACTAGACTAAGGGTGCTGCCAGCTCTAAAATTCAATGAGACCGTTTGGAATGAAGAGCTGTCTTCAGGAGGACTTCCTCAATTACAGAGAAGGGAAGCCATTACTCATGCTAGTCAATCCTTACCCTTGAAAGTCTTCCCCTATAGCATTCCTCTTCTGTGAAGTGTCACTAAATCACTTTATCCACTCAGTAAAAGGTTCAGGGACATTTTTTTAAAGATAGATTTTTAAATAAAGATTAATAAATTGTAAGTACCTTGGGAAAAGGGATGAACCAAATTAAAGAATACACACACACACACACACACACACACACACACACATCTCATTGTATACAATCAGCATAAAATTTCTCCATACTCTTTAACTGAGGAATTCCATTTTTGAGACCATATTAAGAAAATTACCCAAAAAGATAAAAAAAAACTTACATGTACGAAGGTATTTATCATAGTATTATCTACAGTGGTAAAATATTAGACTCGACTCAAGTGTTTGAAAGTAGAGGTGCTGTTTGTTTAAATAGTTATACAGCATTTTGAAGAAATGTTACACAACTATTAAAATAACTAGGACTGTAGCTACAAACTGTAAGACAGAAAGTCTAGTATAAACAAAAGTGGAATGCAAGGTTTGACCAATTCTGTGAGTACAGATGTGTAAAAATTGTGTGCATGTGAACACAGAAAAAGGAGCGCTTCTCAAATGGAAAACAAAATCCATTTGATTGCTCGAGTTCATCTATTCATTCAACACACCTTTATTTGGCACCTTCTATGTGGCATATGGCAGGTAGCAATGATTTTTTTCCTTTCTTGATTTTGAGTACATTACTGAGTACATTACCTAGTTCTCATTTCAGTCTGGCAGTAAACTAATTCTAAGTGAGTCATCAGCCAGGATTTAACTAGGAAACCTGTGGGAAAGAAAGGCTGGAAGCTCTCAGCAGATTTCTGTGAACACAAGTACATGGTCTCGCTTCTCAAGGGAACGACCTGGGGGATCTGCTGGACTTCATGGGAATTGCAGGGAGAAGTTGCTGCACAGCAGCAACCGCAGCAGTAAACGCATCTTAGAGGAAGGCCTGGGGAGCAGGGTGTGGTGGGGAGCAACCTGGCTGCAGGGGAAGGGATGACGGTTTGTTTTTTTCCACCTGATTTCCCAGGATGCCATCCTTCAAAATCGAGAGCTCTGGCTATTGATCAAAAAAGAATTTGGATTCTATTCTAAAAGTCAATATAGGACCTGGCAAAAAAAGCTGTCAGAAGACTCAACCTGGCCTCCCACTAACAGGACAGATTATTCGGGTGATGGCAAAAGTGGATTCTACATCAACCGAGGCTATGAAATCTCTGAACAGCTTCCAAAAGAAAAACTCGAACAGGGGGGCCAAGCCACAGAACAGCATTTTTGGACCATGCTGTAATCAGAATTGTTGTTGTACATGCTTAACAACATCCACCCACCCCCCTTTTATTCCCGCAGAAACTAAAGCACTATAGAGAGGTGATGATAATCTGACCTTATCTTTTCTCTTTCCATCTGAGGACTCAACGCACGTTTCTCAGTGTATTGGATCTTAAATATGCTTATTTTGACTGTATTCTCTACCATTGAGAAAATAAATACATTGCTTGGATTATTGTCTTTTTTCTAATAAACTTTACTCACATTACACAGCATTATCCTGGTGAAAATGGACAACTTTTTGCAGTAGTGAAGTTAATATTAATAGTATGAACATCAATAAAAGAAAAGAAAATTGAAGGAGCATTTCAGCTTTGAAAGTTTCACCAATATATTTTTATTTTCATCTACAGAATAAAAAGAATTTGAAACAAAAAAACCTTCTCTCAATAAAATGTCACAAGTTTAACTTTATATTTACTTGCGAAGGACATTTATGTACATATCTTTTTCCAAGGTCACAGAATTCCTCTTTTTTGCTTCTTTTGTATGGTTTTAACAGAAAAACAAGAATTGACATTTACTTCAGAAAATTCAACTGTAACTGTAGTAAGCCGGAGCTATGTGGGGGTGAAGATTGATGGAGGTTTTCTGTTTATTGCATATAATCTTGGCTTGGGCACAGTTAACATCTAAAGAAATTCCACCCAAATTGGCATCCCCCAAAGTATATATTGTTTGGGGGCCAGTGGACTAGAATAGGTCCAGAACACACAAAGGTAATAAAATAAACCGTTAAAATGTACTTTTCATTTAAAGAAGCATAGTACTTTTATTTACTCTTTTTTACTGACAGATGAAAAGCTCAAGTTCTAACTCTAAACGTTGGCCCAAACTCAGCATTGCTCATCTTAAAAAAACAATCCCAGGGGAGGGTGCCATAATGCTTTTATCTACGGCATGGCAATTAACAGGCTACTAAACAAGCTTAAGTTCCATTGCATCTTTTTATTATCTAAATCAATTATTAGATGTACATTAACCACCACAAGAAATAGTACATCCTTTACAAATATATTGTGTACACTATTACCTTTAACATATCACCTCACTGTGAACTTGAGAGGACATTTATTCATAGTGAACATTTTATATTTCCTACTAGGCTTTCCTTGCAACAATAAACCTAATTTTGCAAACTTTACAGATCTTTAACAGTCCACAGGCAATTAGGTAACCAGTCCCATTCCATGAGTCCCAATTATGTGCCTAACACTGTGATGTATGGATTCAATAATGTATTTATAATTCTGAAGTCTTTAGAATTGAAAAAAAACATTTTCAACATTTCATTAATTTGTTGCTATAAATAGTATGCATTTTGTTACACAAGTCAGCAGCATAAGTGCAAATATCTATAAAAACACTCTATATTTACATTTTATTTGCTTTTTAACCTTTTCTTTGGTGCACAGCTCTTGGAGAGTGATAATTTTCAAAATGTGTCTAATTTAGTGGCTACTAACAATGGACAAAAAGATAAAACAGATATTTAGCTTACAATTAAGAAATGTATATCAACATAAAAAATATAGTAACTCAGGTCCTTGAGCTGATATATCTGTATTTAGTAATTTGACCTTTAGAATGAGAAGATTCAGTTGACACGCTATGACATTTAGATAGCATAAAAAGGTCTTTAAAAATCTTGATTCAATAAATGAACAACCTTTTTTCCCTAGTTTTTCCAGCAACCTGTTTGATATCTCATAGATGATAATCTGCATTTCACACATCTTTCTGGAGATGAAATATGATAAAGTTGAACTCTGTACTTGACTTTGTTAAAAATATGCTCAGAGGAAGATGTAATAGTCTTGGGGGAAAAGTTGATAAAAGCACAATGAGCATGGCTGTGTATCAAATGATCAACTACAGGACAAACAGACAATCATAAGGTGCCCATCAACAAGAGTGGTCAGTTTTGGGGGAACATTGATGACTAACTTGGTAAGCTTACTTCTAAGGGTGAAAACTGCTGGAACCCTGAACACTACCTTTGTGAAAAATGAATTCATGATTTTTTTTTAAAAAGTGCATTTGTGACATTAGCCAGCATAGCAAGGACTGTCTTCTGGAGTGGAGAAGTCCAGGGTTCTCTAGAAAGGTTTGACCTGAGGTCACTCAGAAGGTCTGTCCCCAATTCTGCTCCCTCTCCCATCTGCCAGTGTTGTAATTCCACCACACCCAAGTCTCCTGCTTTGTGTTAAGATTTGTCCCCTCTGCAGTCATCCTTTATAAAAAGGTAAATACACCTTTGGAAAGGTAACATGGTAAACTGATGTCAATCACATTAAACTGATGTCAATCTCACCCTAGTTTGAGAATACTAGAAAGGTGCCTTTTTCTTTTTTTAACTATTACTTGAGAATAGGACATAGAATAAATAAGAAACTAAATTTAGAATAAAAATGAAGGGGTAATTTTTGAATTATGGTATCTAGGAGACACTCATACCTCTCCAGAGGCTCAGTGGAGGGAAAGAGAGTTTGGGGGTTATCTGGAGACAGATGGTGCCATAAGACAGGGAAGGGATTAGTCAGGGAACAAGGAAGAGGGATAAGGTCTCTACTTGAGCGGACTGGAGCACATGACATCTTCTGTTATCATTATCCTTAACCCTGCAATTAGATTATAGAGTATTTTTGGCCTCAGAGTAAAATCTCAATCAGTTGAATAGGTCCAAGTCTTTTACTGTGTCTTCTGTTTAGCTACTTTATCCACCATATTCCTAGTTCCCTTGTTGCACATCCCTCTTAATATTTACTTGAACTTGTCCTTTATTTAATGCCATGCTTTTAATGATGTCACAAGAAGGGTGTCATTGGCTACTAGTGTGTTTTTTATGGTAATGTTATAAAGTCTGATATAGTCCTAGGGTATAGAGACCATTTCCCCCCACTTGCTGCCAACAGGAATTCCACTGGAAAGGTATTAAAAAGTAGCTTTTTTCCTTCAACACATGGTCAGTAAAGTGCGAGAATCAAGTCATGACCCTCCTTGACTTATAGCAAAAGCCTTAAAAAATAACATGGGATATTGTTTTCTAAAATGGCACCTTAAACCTACTTTAATGATCTCTTTCTAAGGTTAAAATGGTCAAACCCTTGAAATACTCAAAAGCCAAAGGGACCAATATAGGTAATAGTAACAGCCCACTCTTGTTTGTCATATACTCCTGACAAATGAGTTGCTTCCAGGAAAATCACTGGATCTGAAACAGTGAAGCAGAGAACCCCTTCATCACTCCCCCACCCAATCTACACTGGAGCAAGGAGATACACCCTCAGACGGCTTGTTAATCAAAGTTCCTCAAACGCCTAATGAAAGGCTGAATTTCCCAGTCTCTTTTCTCACCAGAAAAGGAATTTGAATTTAGATGTCAAACCAAACAATTTGGGGCTCTTATCATTTTTTATTTTAAATCACATATACTCTGTTCTTCTTCCATTTGACAAATACATAATAGCTACCCTTGGGGAAAAAATAATATTTATCGTAGAAGATAAAATATAATGTGATTTTGTTAAGAGCCTCTGCTGACTTACTCAAAAGGCTACCGCTTCTTGTTCAAGCTGCCACCGCAAATCTATGCTAGCAGGGAGAAAAATTTCCTTGGCTCAGTGATGAGATAATATCAGTAAGCAATTTATTAAAGAGCCGGCCATCCATCATTGGGATTTTGAACAATAATGATGTATTGAAAATAAAAGTTCATCCCAGGTTTTGTTTTTTTCCCTCTTCACAAAATCCTTCAGTTCAAATACCTCTTCAATAAATTGTTAATAGTATAATATTTTGCTCTTTGTCTTTTTGGAAACAAGCCCCAAAATGAGAAGGCACCAGCAGCAGCTGTCACAAACCCAATGGTACTTATCACTCGGTTGGCCTATAAAGAAATGAGAAACAAACAAAAAATGTATCTTACGCTAAAGGCATTTCAGTGTTCTAAAACCAACCGTTAGCTTATTTCTTAAACAAAAGACCCATCTTAATGTGCAATGGATAAATTTAAAGCTCAATGCAAAATTAAAATATGGTATGAAGACAGAGAAATAAATTTACAATTATGACAAAGATAAGATAAATATATACGTATACATATATATTTATAAATATATAAATACATAAATACATATATAAATATATAAAAATAATACATAGAAATATATATAAATTTTATATTTTATATATAAAATATATAAGTATATAAATATATAAATACATATATATGTATTTATATATGTATATATGTATTTATATGTCTGTATTTATATGTATTTATATATATATGTGTGTATATATATATATATATATATATATATATATATATATATATATATTTTTTTTCCCTGACTCAGGAATGTCTGGTTAGCAAAATAAC